AAAACTGCAGGCACATGATGGAGCGCTACCTTTAAAGTGACTCAGAACAGTACGACACACAGATGGTGTATTGACTTGATTTCAGTGCAAAGGACAAAGTTTTCCTAACAAACAGGAAAAGTATTACTGCAGAAAATAACGGTCAAGGATTCTTGACCTGCATCACACTGTCAGGGGACAAGCAGAGTATCCTCGTGAAAAATGTATGTATGCCCCCTACCTAGAAAGAAACCTTTTGTCAGTGAAAACCCTTGCTAATAACGGTCTCAAGGTTCAATTCAGAGGTGATGAATATACAATTCGAAACAATAAGCAAATCCCTGCAAAAGGAACATTGGATGAACACCTGAACAGACTCATCACCATAGACGAGCAGATCAAGAAAACCACTTACAATCCACACAACAAAGGTATCCATCTATGGCACAGCTGACTAGAGCACGGAAACCCGGAAGCCATAACAGATATTATAAAGAGAGGCATATCAGAAGATATAACCGTACTGCGCTGCCAAATGCCCATGACATGCAAATGCTGTATGGAAGCAAAGGCCACATGTACCCCACATTCCACAGGTCATCCAAAGAAAGACCACCCACACCATGGAGCCTATACCCAGTGATAGGTGCAGACCAATGAAAACTCCCACATCAGGTGGGAACAGATATCTACTGATTTTCATTGATGATTATTCCAGGTACACAACAACTTATCTGATGAAGCACAAGAATGAAACCTCAGAAGAACTTCAAAAGTTTGTAGCCATGTCCAGCAACAAATTCCAACAGCAACCAGTAATTATACACTCCTGAACGAAATGGTGTAGCAGAACGGAAAAATCGCACTCTTATAGAAATGGCCAGATGCATACTGTCAGATGCCAACCTACCTAAGAAGTACTGGGGAGAAGTAGTCATGACTGCAACATACCTACAGAAGGTGCTACCTTCAAAAGCCGCAGAAAGCACCCCATTTGAAATGTGGCATGGATCGGAGCCTAGCTTAGGGCACATCAGAGTGTTCGGATGTAAAGCTTACGCATATATTCCCAACGAGAAGCGATCTAAATTGGAGAACACAACCATTGAAGGTATTCTGATGGGCTATAATGAACAAAGGGATTTAGAATCCTCCACCCAAAGAATGACAAACCAACAATAACCACAGCGTTTATTTTGATGAGAACCCATCACCAGAAACAATGATCCCGGGAAGTTGTGAAGTGAATTCGCCCAGTGAACCAGCAAAGAAAGTTGAGCAAAGTGAAGCCCCACAGGAGTCAGAACAAGGGGTTGAGCTTACAATGGATAAGTCAACTTCCATGTTAATTCTGCTGAACAACCTGAAATTAGAAGATAAACTCGGGGAACAAAGAGAATACAACCCTGCAAGCTATCATATACTGCTAAGACACATAGCATACTCGAACCAACTTAGTGGGAAGAAATATAAAATTACCAAAACTCAAAGTCAATCAATGGAGACAGGCAGCAGAAGATTAAATAAAATCACTGCAAGAAAATAAAACCTGGACACTCACGGAGCTTCCCCCCGATCGCAGAACTATAGGAAGCAAATGCATTTTTAAGGTGAAGCTTACCATCAGAACACTTTTTAGCATCACTGCCAGGAAGGGCATGCAAGTGAGACACCTAGATGTTAAAATTGCTTTCCTATATGGAGACATTAAGGAAGATCTCATGGAGCATGGAGCAACCACCAGAGTTTGAGTAAGGACACCACCTTGTGTGTAAACTCCATAAAAGCATCTACAGACTCAAGCAATCTGCAAGAATGTGGAATAAGAAAGTGAATAAAATACTCACGAAAGAGTTCACAAGAAACAAAACAGATCCCTGTCTTTATTGCAGGAATTAAGAAGACAGATGGACATAAATCCTAATTTATGACATCCTAGTTGATGACATTATAACCTGTTTTGAAGAAGAAGGGGGCTAAAGTCAAATAGTACACAAACTAAAACAAAACTTTGAAATTAAGGAGCTAGGAAACATCAGTCACTATCTGGGAATTGAAATAGAGAGAGAAGAAGATGGACGCTATCTTCTCAACCAAAGTCAGAAAATTGCAGAAATTCTGGAACAATTCCACATGCAAAATGTCAAGGAAGTAAAAACACCTATGGAACCAGGCTACCAAAAGAGCAATGAAGCAGAAAACTTACCACACAACAATGACATGTACTGCAGAGCAATTGGAAAGCTACTATACATTGCCACTGTGACAAGACCAGACATAGCGGCAGCAGTGGGCATACAAAACAGTCGCAGCACCCTGGCAGCGTGACTGGAATGCAGTAAAGAGGATGATACTTAAAAGGAACAATATGGATGAAGCTACGACTGCGAGCAGCATCAAATCCAAAACTAGTTGGATATGCGGATGCTGATTGGGCCAGAGACTGCACAGACTGCAAATCCACAAGTGGTTACATCTTCCAGTACAGGGAAGGAATCATCAGTTGGTCTAGCTGAAAGCAAACAACTGTTGCACTTTCCTCAACTGATGCTGAATACAGTACATAGCAGCAGCACACGCTTGTCAAGAAGCAATATGGATTCGCCAGCTTTCAAATCGATATTTCTAGGGAAAAAAGCACTAAAATTTATTTTAGTGCACACAAACACAATATAATACCCTTTTTGTTGTAAACAATTAAATATAGGTAATGTCGAGGCAATATATATATACACACACAACTAAAACACAACCCTCAGACCCTTTGATTGGGTGGAGTTAGCACTGCAAACAAGAACAAGTGGCTTCAATAACAGCTGCAAGCTCTCATTTTACCATTAGAACTAATGAGGAATATTAAGAGTCAAGAATAAGGGCCAGTGATTCTTGCAACATCAGATTGGACTTAACTACTTGCCGTCCGCCCGTTGTAAAAAAACGGACGGACGGCACTGCAGCATTGGTGGTTTGCCGTCTCCAGACGGCATTTTTTTTCTGCTCGTGCGCGCCCCCTAGCGGGCACACACAGGCAGAATAGGCCCGACCAACGCAAACACCCGTTACCGGGTGTTTCACATATAGACGATCGGCGGCTCCATAGCCCGCCGATCGTCTATATGTGCTCGTTTTTTTGCCCGCCGCCGCCGGTTTTTTTGCCCCCCCTGACCCCTCACCTTCAATCCCGGGATCCGCTGCCCCATCTGCGGCCCGAGTGATGTAAACTCTGTACTGTACTGAGAGCACACGGACTTCACTTTACCTTTACCCCCTTTCATTAAAAATCACCTCAGCGTGCAGCTCTGCATGCTGATATGAAATCATCTTACATTCATTAGTTAAACAAATTTTTTTCTTTTACATACAGTTGGTTGTTTTTTCACTTCCTGGTCCTCTTGGGCATTAGTGATGTAATGTGCACAAGCGTTGCACCTGAAAAGGTTAAAAAACACAAAATATAAAGCGCACTCCTGTAGGGCAGACAGGCTTCAAACAGGTGGCTGTTATGTAAAGGTGTGCAGATCTCCTTGTTACAGGGAGAGGACCCTGTCTATTGGAAACCACGAAAATCTCGTATCTTCTCGTATCACTTCTCGTATCTACCAATTTTGGTAGTTGCGCTCCTGATCTTTTGTTTGTTTACCTGAAAAGGTTACATCAGCAGAGCATTGCTGGAAAACATCATCTGTAATCTCATGAGATCTTAGGGAAAGGCATTTTCCTCTGTGTGCCAGAGTTCCAGGAAGTAAAATGAGATATATTATTCTGCCGTTAATTAAAATGGCCACTGTGAGAAGACTGGGAGGAAAAGAAAAATGAGGTATGCAAAGAATAAAAAGCCGGCAATTATCTAGAAGTATGTGTACATAGATTGTCATTACTGAACATTTCTAAAGGTATCTTTGCTGTAATTTCAAAGATATGGGTAAAGTTCCTCTTTAAGTATTTTTTCCACTTATAAACCTTTTTATTCTACTGTTGCTTATGCAGGTTTTGTAATATATTTTCTGTAAATATTTATTGCACCATATTTATTTTCTCATCAATTAAAATAATATTTAACTATTGTTAGGCAGAATCTCTGAGTGCTCTAGGGGAGGCAAGAACTTTGCCTCCCTGATAAAGCTACTGTAGTTTAAACCAGTGGCTTCACAAGGGGGGTGCGGCCCGCACCTGGGTAACATCATTGGAGGGGTGACACCAAAATGACTGACAGTCATTTTGGTGTTATCCCCTCTGAAAAGTTGGGCACTCGGTCACGGGACAGTTACAGGAGAGAGGAGGGGGCCCGGTGGCATACCTTATCCCGCCGTATCAATGTCCCTTCCTCTCTCTTCCGGCGTCCATCACCAAGATGGCCACCGGCAGATATCATCAAGAATGCCGCGCATGCGCGATGACGTTACGGCAGGGTGTCACCAGGTCAAAATTGCAATAGTAGATGCTGTGGATGGTGCTAATTTACGTTAAAACTTGTGGTACCATTTACTATGTGTGTGCTCAATCGACCTGTCCCAGTGATGGTCACCCTCAGTCTGCTGGTGCTTAAATTTTAAATGCATTAACAGTTACCATTAAATCTGAATGATATATTATATTTTATATTATATTTAAACTGTTCTAAAATCACCTCAAAGACTGCTGGAAAACCGACACTTCAGGGAATATTGATTTCCTGGGTTCCCCACAGCTCTCACTGGTTCCCACTACTGACCTCAGTGTCAGTACTGTCTATTGTAGTGGCATTAGAGCCATCAGGAGAAATCACAACTACGGGGAGCCAGGAGATCGATATTCCTGGAAGTGCCCGTCTCCCAGAAGTTTTTAGGAGACCATTTCTTAGGAGGGGAGCGGCGTGTTTGGTGGTATTTTCTGTCTTCAAAAATGTTGTATAGCCACAGTGTTTAAATGAGATTTTCACATTGCCAATATGCACAGTAGGTACAACATGAGAATGTATTTAATGCAATATATTTATTATCATCATTGATTGATTTATTTTTTAATCATTACTTTACTTACAGGTTCAGTTTATGATATCAGTGGCACGGAATGTTCTTTGTCAACCGGGGATTTGTTAAAAGTTATGGGAAGGGAGTTGCAGTGTGTTAATCTTGTGGACATAAAAACAGGAAATAGCCAGACACTTCCGAATAACTATCAAGGTATTATTTACTCCTATTTACTTTTTTTTGTTTATTTCCAAAATTTATAAACTCAGAATTTTGGATTTGGTGGAAACAAGTGAAAACAAAAATGCTAATCTGCATACGTTTTAGAGTAAATCTAATGTGACTTGTTAGTATTGACAGAGAACATTATATTGAAAGAATGGAAGAGAAGATAAGGGTATTCATTAGATTTTATATTTTGTATGCCAGCAATACATAGAGACAAGTATCCAGAAAGTAAGTCTGAGTCTTGTAGGAGATGGTCCATTTGTATGCACTAATGAGCAGACAATATACAGTTAACAAATATCTCAGATCACATAAAGATAGAAATAATTTCTTGCATTTTTGAACACTTTCCTTAATATATATTGAACAGATGAACAGTAAAAAACAGAATAAAAAAAAAATGTAAAACTGCCAAAAAACTATTTTTAAAGTCCCCCTTTCCCGTGAACGCATGCATACTAACTTAAACACGCTTTGGGTGTGCCTGTGTGTGAAGATGATGATTACACTACACGTGTTGGGTATCTCCATATGCACCAGAGTGAATAATTCTATAGCCAATATTCCAGTTAACTCTAAACTGATGACCTGTACAGGCTTTTAAAGCGTTGCCTATTGCCTATGGACCTTTCACAGGAGCATGCAATATTTAAACTTGGCATGGGTATCTATTTACTCAGCATAACCTCATCTTTTATATTGTACAAAAAAATGGGTATTATATTGTGTTTTTGTGCACTAAAATTAACTTAAAGGAGAACTATGAGGTGCGTGCTTTTCACTCACCTCATAGTTCTAGCCGACCTGTGACAATGAGACTGTCACATGTCGGCTCAGTAGATCTCTGCCGTGACAGGGGAGGGGCTGGTTTCCCCCCTCCCCGCTCCGATCCGCCAGCGCTAACTGGCGGAACTGATGGGGGAGGGGGCGGGTACAGCTGGCTCTGCCTCTAGATAGGCAGAGCCAGCTGTCAGTCACGCAGCTGGGCGGATCCAGACATAATTGTTGGGATCCGCTTCAGCTGCGGCGTCAGTATACAGCGAGCAGCAGCTCGCGGTATACTGCGGCGTCTCAGTATATCGCGAGCTACAGCTCGCGGTATACTGAGCCTAGGGTAACGGGAGGACGCTAGTTTGTGTCCTCCCGTTACCCTAAGGAGAACTATGGGGAAAAGCCTTAACCCCATAGTTCTCCTTTAAGTGTAATTTCTACAAAAAATTTGGGGTTTCATAAAGAGTTGCACTAATATCATACAACATAGAAATTTGCAACTGCTGCCATTGTATTCCACAAGGTCTCTGCTTTCAGAAAATATATAACTCTTGGGGGTTTAAGTCATTTTAAGGCCTAAAATGTGGATTATAACATGCGTGTAAAACCCCCAAAAATGCCTTGGCAGCTAAAGGGTTTAAACTTAAAGATTTTTAAGGCAAATTATGCATCATTCACATGAATGTTATGAAAATCAGGGATCATATTTTACCCACAGAATCAATTTTTTGGCCGGTGGTAATAAAAAAGATGGTGTATGTAAAAGAAATGATTAGGTTTAGGCAACTTTACTACAGCTAACCAGTTTATTTTTAGTAGGGATGTTCAGATACCAGTTCAGATACCAGTTCAGATACCAGTGCCGATATTTGGCATTGTCACGAGAACTACCAGGGTTGCAGCGGTTGCAGCTGGGACCTGGCTCTGTCTCTCCACCACGGTGCAGAAATCATTAGTCTGCATTGTTTTAGAAAAACTGTCACATGACAATAAACAAAAATGTTTTAGTACTTGTACTTGTAAGTACATGGGCAAGTATCAGTACTTGTACTTGGAAAAATGGTATCGGTGCATCGCTTATGTATATTTATTTTTTTTAAATACCGTATTTGCCGGCGTATAAGACGACTCGGTGTATAAGACGACCCCCTACTTTTTGTGTTAAAATATAGATTTTGGGCTATACTCGTCGTATAAGACGAGTAAAGCCCAAAATAATGTTTAAATGCAAGCACTAACATCCATGGCGGTATTCCCGAGTGTGGCTTGGGGTTAATTTTAGTACCATAAGCGGTAACCCCGAGCCACACTTGGGATTACAGTCTCTTACCTTGTCCACGATCCCCGCTGTGTCCTCCGTCTTCCGCTGAGTCAATCATGGCAGGCTTTGTATTAATAAATACAGGCTTTGTATTCATTAATACAAAGCCTGCCGTGATTGGCTCAGCGTGGTATACTGTATGTAGCCGAAGCTACATACAGTAAACCGTATCCTTCCGTATGTACCCGGCGTATAAGACGACCCCTGATTTTCGGGGGATGTTTTAAGGTCTCAAAACCCGTCTTATACGCCGGCAAATACGGTAATGCATTTAAATGGGGATGTACACTCCCCAGTATACTCCTTAAAAATGACAACTGCCTCCTAACTTTTGAATTTTTCTCTAGTCTAGTCTTGGAGCTGGAAAAGTATTTGTACATGTATTTGTACTTGTACCGAGTACAGTAATTGGTATCTGAATTACCCCAAATTTGTAGACAAAATATTTGCTGTACAGGACACTCTGGTGAAGCCAGAATAAACTTGAATGCATTAATATAGTAAAATAGGTTCAGATTATTTACCTAAATAACATATCTGTATTCCAGGTATGTTTGAAGTCTATGTACATGGTTGCACGTACAGCACTCTTGAGATGTTACATGCAGAATTATCCAGTGGCGATCACATGGTTCCGTATTGGTTCACCTCCAAGTCTGATTTCACAGTGGGAAATCATGTTATTTGGCAACAGCTTCCTATTCACTTTGTGTCATTTGACAGATGTACCAGTTGTGCTGAATGCCATGTCTATGAGGGTTCACATTCATACTCCATCACAATCCCCTCATCCACACAAGGGCACTTTTATGAGTATGAAAATACAGAGTCATATAAACTTGAACAGGTCTTGCAGTCTCCAGCTTTACTGAAACGTTCCTTCAAATGCAGAATTATAGGAACTGGAGTGTACAGGATATGTCCAGAATATGAAATTAAAACAATCATGAATAGTAAGTATATTACCTGCTCATGGTAAGTAGCTAAAATATGTATATCTCTATCCTGAATGTATTTCCATTAAACATGGCTAATGTTATACACAGTTCTCCCACTTTTGTCTTTTTATGTTTTACATAATCTTTTTTTTTTTCAAATAGCAATTTTTCAAAACAATAAATAAAGTGTAAGTTCAGCCAGTTTTTTTTTTTTTATTATAATTTGAATAGACTGAGGTTGGATTAAAACCCCTGTCAGGATTTACTGCTGACTGGGACTCCATTAGAGAGATGGTTTCACCAGACAGGAAGTGAGGATAAATTTCAACAAGGAGACATACATCAGTTAAAAGCATACAGGGTTTCGAGCCCTGCGCTACACTGCTAAAAAAGAAAAAATATTTCTGTGTGTGTTGTTTTTAGAGATTTTCCCTAATTTCCTGTCTGGCAAACCATTGTCAGAGTTTGTGAGGGAAAACCACTGTAACCAGACCCTGAATGGCTGTAAACCTTAACAAGAGATCTAAATCTTTGCCTACAGACTGACTCATTAAAATGCCATCTGAGCAGAGCATTGATGGATGTGGAAGGGAAAAAAAATCACTTCTTTGACTCATGTAGTTGAGCTATTGAGCCCTGTATACACCGGTTCAGTTATGCAGCTTCAGGCAGCCTGGAAAATACATGGAAAGGAGCCCAGAGGTGCTGGCTTGATGTGTAAATATGAAAGATTTTTAACATTTCATATTTACCTAAAAATATGTATTTTTTTTAGTTTTGAACATGATAGAGCAAGAAAAAATGACATTTCCTTTAAGCAAGCTGCAACTGAAAATTGAAACATACAAGATCTACATCTTGTGTTTTTGGCCACTTGAACAGCATAAATTAGTAATAACTTTTTTTTTTATATAAACACACCAGATTTTACCCAGAAGTAATGTATCCCCTCATTGGAAAGGTAAACCCCACAATCACAAAATTATATTAAAATGTAGAAAATATATATTGAGTAATTTTATGTTTTTAAAATACTTTCCTGGATTTAGTCTTCAGCCCCTATAATTTTTATAAAACTGCAAATATATAATTTCCCTGCAGGTACAGTAACTAGCGGCATTTAAAATGTGTAAAGAACAGCCGTAGAAATTGAAATTATTACTTCTATGATTAGCTTATTTGAAGTTTTGTTTCTGTGAATCTGCACAGAGCTTAAATACTTTGTAGACATCTCCTGCAAAATTAGTTTATTTTTGTGAGATACTTTCTAAGACATTTGCACACATCAATGAATGCCAGGACGTATTTTATTATTACAACACTGCACCAGCTGATGTAGCTGTAACCAAGGCCAATGACCAAGGCAACCACATAGTAACCAGTTTGAGAGAGGGCATGTTACAACCTTTCTTCCAAATTATACCACAGAAGAAATGTCAGTAACCTTTGTTAAAATTGTTGCAATGTACAGTATATGGTTCACCTGGTTATTTAGGTATTTTCTTTCTTTCTTTCTTTATTTATTTATTTCTTTCCTCATACAGTGAGAAAAGGCTTGGTGATGATTCCATCAAGTCTTGAAGTAGATGTAATAGATATTACTGACCAGTGTGGAAACATCACTTTTATCCAACCACTGTCCTTGGAAGAAGTTTGTGAGCATGAAAGCAGGTTTCCAGTTGTTGCAGAAATTCTGGAGATGGCAGAATGCACCCATTTATTGAAAAATAACACTTATTCAGCTCTACACAAAGGGAAAAAAATTGTTATCCACAAAAAAACTATTTCTAAAAAAGTGTTGGCCAAAGCCTGCAAAGGTAAAACCTTTAGGTTTTTTTACATCCACAAACAATACCAAGGAAAGTTTCGCCAAAGACCAAGAGAGTTTTCAACAGTTTATGACCTGTGGACCAAAATGATAGAAGGAACAGAGTTAACTGTTGTGGTGACCCAGGATAGTGAGAGCTTTGATGATAACTTCCCATCTCTTTGCATTGGTGATCATCTACGCACTTTGCATCAAACCAAAACTGTCTGCTCAAGTCAAAGTGGGTCACAAGAAGTTGAGGTTTTGGTGTGTATTAAAGAATCAGCAGATGATGATGAAGATGATGAACCAGAAGAAATCAAGCTTCCTTTGTATATGGAAGGACATTTTGTTGAGGAAGTTAAAAACAACACAAAATACAACATTAGTAGTTTAATAGAAAAACATAAACTCCCCTGTGAGGTGAAGGTTGTGAAAAAAGACATGTCTTTACCCAATGACCCTTTGACTTCTTTTCCTACCCTAACATTGGAAGAAGTAGTGGACGAACCTGTATTGTTGGTCAGTTTGTTGGACAATATCTCTGAATGCTTTGAGTTGCCTCTTAAATACTTTAACATTTCAGTAGTTTTGCAGGATGATTATGTGCATTCTACAAGAGATTTAATTACTTCAAATAAATTAGAAGAACTAATGGAATGGTTTTATTATTCTTTGAGGAAACATCTGCCAACCCAACAGCTTCCACCTCCTCGGCCACCGAAAAGACTGGTCAAAACTAAAGAACATCACCCATGCAATAAACCTGTTGAGCCAAAAAGCCCCGTTCATCTTAATTTGAAGGTACAGCATTATTTTGTGTATATTGTGTGTAAAATGGTGAAATTTTTCCATCTTTACTTTTAAACTTCCTTTTTTGTAAATTCAAAAAGGATTGGTCTATTTATAAAGAATATCACATTGTCCTATAGCACTGCAGTTGCTCTAGAATATTAACATACACTAATACAGCTAAAAATAAATCTATTAATAATATTAATATTTATATTTTAAAGACATTTTAGATCTCTTCGCATTAACATCTGCAGGGTATTTTCCAGGAGGGTGGTAAAATTCTCCTTGAACTTAAAAAAATTCATATAGACCAATAATACTAATAGGAAAGGGAGACAAGCTATACTATACATTTAATAGATACAAAAGAGCACTAATAGCAAAAAAAAACCTCTGTGGTGGACTTTGCAGGCTGCAGAGCCCCCTACAGATCCTTCAAAGCCCCCCACAGATCCTGCAATGCCCCCACAGATCCTGCAAAGCCCCCCTGAGACCTGGCAAAGCCCCCCACAGATCCTGCAGAGACCCCCCTGGGACCCTGCAGTCTGCAGGGTCCCAAGCAAAGATCTGCTTGGCGACAGATATAGTTTTCCTTCTTCCGGCATATTCCAATTCTGTTTTCTAGCAACATAAGTTACAAAACAACACTTTCACTTGTACTTCCCTTTGAAAAACCAACTGCACTATGAAAGTATATACCTCGCTTTCCTTCTCTTTTTTTTTTTTTCCAGACTCCACTGAGTCTTTCCTTATCTCTCAGCTGACAATGAGGTACAATTGAGAGGTTCACAATAGAATTGTGAACCTCTCATTAACCACTCGAAGACCAGGGGAGTTATTCACAAAGCTGCCGAAGGCAGCTGAGTGAACGACCGACCCGAAGGGAAGTGAGCTGAACGCTGTTCGGCTATTAACTCCAGGCTTGCATTGCCCCGTGGTACCGAGCAGAATAGAAAAACAGTGCAAAAAGTAGAAGAAAAAAAAAGTAGATTTTTTTTTTATAAAGGTAAATATATGATAAATCTTAAAAAATAAATAAAGATTAAAAAAAGTTCAAAAATAAAGATTATTAAAAAAACAAAAATAAAGATCATTGAAAAAAGAAAAAAAAATGAAAAGAAAGAAACTAGCGGAGCTAGCAGTGACAGGTAGGTCTGCCCAACTGTTTCCTATTGGCCGTGACCTGCTAGAGTCTTGTAGCAGGTCCCGGCCAATGAATAACAACTGGGCGGAGCCGGCCGTGACGTCACAGCCGGCTCCGCCAAGTTGTCCTTGTTTAATGACAGTTCAGCGTCCCCAGTAACCTGGGGACCCTGATCAGTCATTGCAACTTGGGATAGCCAGCTGTGAGATCACTGCTGGCTCCACCCAGCTGTCAGTTGACCGCTTCGGGTTTCACGTCGGCTCAGTCGAGCCGAAACATATGCCTTCGGCTCGGCCAGCTTCGGGAGCTGTACGGGCTATAGTGAATAGCAGCCCTTCAGTTCGACTGAACTGAAGGGCTCCAGCGGCCGAAGCTAGCCGTAGGATAAGCCGGAGCTCGGACCACCCCACAACATCCCGGAAGCAACTTGTTTCACCACAACTTGTGTTACTGTACACCACGAGCCATCCCTTAACCGTCCCCTCCACCCCTATTCTTTTCTCCCATCCAGCCACAGCAATCTTTTTTTTATTCTTTCATTTATTTATTCATTCATTTATTTTCATTCGGTCGCAGCGCTTCTTTTGTTGTAATTTTTTTTCTAGCATTATTTGAAAATGCATGCAGCCTTCTTACATAGTTTGGGAACAAGTGATACGTCAATTTACTTCATAATAATTTGTTGCACTTTCCTAAATGCACCAAATATGGTTTTTAGTTTAGGTGCTTTTGGTGCTCCTAGGGCCAGTAGTTATTTTCATAACTGCAGCCGGTTTGCACACAATCACACCCCATTGCTAGGTTTACCTCTTTTATACAAAACGTTGTATTATTTTGCAGTTTCTAACATGGCATACAATTTTGTTTTTGTTAAAATAAACATATGAGAGTTTTGTTTTTTTCTGATGGAAAAATATCTGTGGCCAATAGCAATACAGAAAAAAGCCACTATGTTGTTTGTGCTGCCTATAGGCACAGGTCTATTGTGCCTAATGGTAAATCTAGTCCTGGTGTTCTTTATATTGTATATATGTAGATGTTACCATATGGTGATAGAGACTATTTTTTTAAGCTGAATTTGTTGTGTACATGAGGGCAAATGTATTTTATCCGCCATTTTATGATGGGGCAGGGTCTGGATCAACTGTGTGTAGCAAAATAGTGTTTGCAAAAAAAAAAAATCTGTACAGTTTAGTTTTTAGGTCTGATTAGGCTGATGAAGCAATATCAAATACATCTAAAAATTAATAATAGTTCTGCTATATTTGTATATAAGGTTACTGGTCAGACTTGTTTCCTTCCAGCTAATAAGTGCTTACTGCAGCCGATTTTATCATTACTGTCATTTTTTTTTCCAGTGAAAGGAAACCTGTGTGTGTGTCTGTATGTATGTGAGCTGCTACTGAAAACTTTTTTTAAAGACCTATGTTCTGGGTCCATAATCCTTATCCTTGCTTCACTGTTGAGTCACTGAGATAAAAAGATATGCAGGTACGAGTTGTGACCTCTTTGGCTACATATTTTTGGTTTCTGAGTCATTAAACACTGAAGGGGAGGATGTCAGTCATAGGTTCGCATTTCAAAAACAAGTTGGCAAGTTTTTTCCTAATTTTGTCCTGGCAGATTCCTGTTAATACCTGATCAAAACATTATATAAACTTGTGCTTGCAATATTCTAAGCGTTTTTCTTTTTTTCATTTCAGGAATCTCCAGACAACCTTGCTAAACCACCAGTGCCACATCGGAAGGTCTCTTCAGAAAAGAGTAAAACAGCTGGTGAGATATGTAAATTACAGAGGGGTAATGAGTACATACCCACACCAAGAAGAAATACAGTAAAACCAAAAGGTGTGCTAATGTCCCTATGGTGACCCCTTTCCTTTACTAATGCAGGACAAACTAATAGGGTAATTAACATTCCTCCTACCCAGTAACATATGCTAACCTTCCCTCACCCCGTCCTGTGGTGCGTGCAACCATGCCAAAATCGAGATAGTAGGGCTTGTGCCCATGGGCATTGTTTACCTGAGTTTGACACGTTAGCAGATTCCCATCTACCTCAATGGTACAGTATAGATCACTAGTTCTCAACTGGTGGGTCATGACCCAAAAGTGGGTCACCACTTGCCTTCCACTTTTCTAGGGCTCCTCAGCGTCCCCGTAGAGCAGCACTGTCAGTTCTCGCGCCAAGCACCCATTCAAAATAGGCTGCCCGGCGCCGAGTGTCAGCTTGAGATGGGATGGGGCTGTGGCTCTGAGGGAGCTCCATGAATACATGCATTGCTTACAGCTCCCTCTGGACCGGAGTGACGTCACATTCTGGCTCGCGGCACCTCTACACATGGGAGCTGTACCAGCAATGCACAAATGGATGGAGCTCTGTCACGGCACAGCAGCCCATAATGGACCTTAGGCTGAGGATCCACTCCAGTTCTCGTAAGGTAGGGAGACTGGGTGGATCTTAAAAACGTTTTAAAATTATTATTTTTAATTTGTGTCTGCGATTGTGTATGTATGTCAGTGTTTTTGAGGGCCCATTCACACTAGTACAGTGCGTTAATCACATAGTACCATGCGATTAACGCACTGTACCTACCGTGCATTCTGGTGTGGGAGGTGTATTGCATTGCCACTCATTTGAATAGTACCCCAAATGCACCTCCCACCAACAGTTCGTACACCCACACCGGAAGGCGCGATACCGCAATGCCGTGCGTTCCATTGTAGCGCAACCTGGGTCGTGATTTATTGAGCAAGGACAAATGTGGGTCCCGAGGTTACACAGGTTGAGAACCACTGGTATAGATGACAGTTCTGAGGCTGTGTTTGACCTTCTTTGAGTGGTCCTTTTGGAGAGTCGGCATTTTGCATTTGAGCTGCGCTGTGTTCAGATGTAAAAACATGCACTTGACAGCATCTTATAATATGCACATTCCGTGGAATTCATAAAGAGTGTCGTAGACACTCTTTAGAATTCTGTCATGCCCCCACACAACAAATGCGGTGTCGGTTAGAAACTGGTACATGAATCTGGTGCATGCCCGACATTGCAGTGCCTGTCACACAGTCAGGCACAGAGGGTGAGGAGTTTTCCTGTTAGATGAATGGAGCCTGATAGGAAAGCTGAGAGGCTAGCTCACCAACAGGACCTTCATTGTGATTGACAGTGGATAGCAGTGGGCAGATTCCACAGCTGCTATTGTTCTGTCTAGTGGCTATGAAATCCGCTCACTGCAGTCAATCACAAGGAAAGTCAACCTGATGGGGAACTCAGAGGGATTAGTTCTTCATTGGGTTCACCTAACTTGTGATTGACAACGGAAGGCAGTGGCTTGATTCCATAGCTGCTAGTAAGAGGAACAAAGATGGCAGTAAAAATATGAAACTTTTTTTAAACCTTTACCCTGTTATTCAAGACTAGAAAAAAAAACATTTTTGGTTGAACTTCCACTTCCATCACTTAGTTGCACTGTTTCAATAAGTTGACTAACACTGCACTGTTCCAGTTCTATATTCATAAGATTCTGTCTTCACTATACTCTGGATTCTCTCTTCTCTCTAGCCGCTGCTTATGAATAACCTCTTTATTGCCTATATCAGATACAGACCTGCCTTGTTTAACCTTTTGTGACCAGAGGTCAAGGATGCCTAGATGTGCAGGCCAAATTTAGAAGCCGCAGCAAGTGTTGATTAGCTTTAACAATATTTCTATGACTAATTTGCATGCCTACATATTTTTTATAGATTTTTTTTTAAGGCCATATAAGGCTTTTATTTGGTAAACAGGAAGGACAGGGAGGGAGGGGAAATCATTTCAATGGGAGCCCAGGCAGCAAAATTTAGCAGCTGAACAGACAGGGAGTATAGCATGGTTTATTGCAAGAATGTAAAACCACAACAGTATCATATTTCTAAATGTATTTACTTTATTCCTGAAGTAGGCTGTACTGATGTGATTGGATCATAACATGCAACATAAAACCAATAATGCACATTTTATTCACAGACAGTGATAGTGATGATGGCTACGAAGACATAGAGAAACACATGAAGACTCAATTAAACATTGTGACTAAAGTGAACAAGAACTGAATAAGGTTTTGAGTCAGGCCAAACCACTTCAAAAGCACAAACTAAAAATGCACACACAGTTGTAAACCATTCCCAGTGCAGTGAAAGGTGTGAAAGCCTATTTTTTGTATAGTAATATTTGTCTACAGATAGATGTTTGCTGCCATGCACCTTTTCTTTCATATATGATACCTGTATGTTCTTAAGTGAGCGTTAAGTAAAATTTTCAATATGTACAGAAACCTAATTAGGCAAGTGATGTATTAAAGGAGAACAATGAGGTGAGTGATTTTCACTCAACCACATAGTTCGAGCCGATGTGTCGGCTCAATAGATCGGGAAGTGAGCGAACACATACCGTCGCTCACTCACTTCTCAATCATGTCCCTGCAAAGAGCCATGGCTGTCACTCACGGCTCCCTGCAGGGATTCCCCCCTCCCCGCTCCAATCCTCCAGCGCTGACTGGCGGAATGGGAGGGGGCTGGTACAGCTGGCTCTGCCTCTAGATAGGCAGAGCCAGCTGTCAATCACGCAGCTGGGTGGATCTCGACAGTAATGTCGGGATCCGTCCCGACTGTGGCAGTCTCAGTATACCGCAAGCTGTAGCTTGCGGTATACTGAGCTTTGTGTCATTGGAGGATGCTAGTTTATGTCCTTCCGTGACCCTTAGGAGAACTATGGGGAAAAACACTTACCCAATAGTTCTCCTTTAACTGAAGGAACTATTTAAATAGCACTTATTAGCTGAACCCTACCTACAGTGGTACCCTTAGCTGATTAGATTACAAAATCACATGACCAGTATTATCAAGCAAAGCTTGCCTATATACTCCATTGGAATTTACCATTAATTTCTAATGTATGGCTGAAAATTGAACTGACATTTCTCTATACCAGCTCACTGACATATCAACTGTAGCTCCCAATCTTTGTAAAAACCACATTTTTTTCCAGTTAATCTGCTCCTACATAGATAATTAATTACCCTCAATATCTAGTACAGGTATTCCTCACTTAACGACAGAGTTCCGTTCCTACGACCAGGTCGTTAAACGGATTGGTCGTTAAGTGAGGAACTCTATACAGTACTGTACTGCATTAGTACAGTACTGTATAGCGTTGCAGATGTACAGTACCGAAGAGTGTACTGTACATCTGGCAGTGAAAATACTTACCGGGACCGCAGTGAAGATCGGAGGACGTCACTTTCGCCGGTGACACGTCGCACTGACGCTGACACGCAAGGTCGGAGGTCGCTCGGCGGTCCATCGTAAGTGCGAGTGGTCGCAAAGCAGGTAAGTCGGTAACCGAGGAATGTCTGTATTGTAATAAACATATGGAACCACTGTTCTTTACCCTCTCTTTCCTCCAGTATGTTCAATATCATACTGCAACTGTTTAAAATCTCTAAAAAAGCTTGCAATAAAAGCTTAAGGCCCCATTCACACTGCGTTTGTCGCACGATTTGCATTTTGTGCAATATTGCGCAAATGCTTGCATTGAATCGCGGCACAATCCGCTCCAAAAAGGGTCCTGCTGTAGCGACGCATGACCCGCGACAGCAGGACCCTTTGCCCCATTGCCAAGCATTGGAGAGCGATATCGCGCGGTAAATAGCCGCGATATCGCGGGAATTACCGCGCGATAAATCGCTCAGTGTGAATGGGGCCTTATAGTGGACCTGAACTCAAAAAGGGAAGATTCCCTTTTATAGCGAACACTTAGGCTCCTTTCACAGAGGCATCATTCATCCTGATCATCTCTGATATATCTACAGTGTGAGATCTATGGCACTGCTGCCTCTGACTGCTAGTCTGTGGAGATATGGGGGTAATTTACTAAAGGCAAATAGGCTGTTCACATTGCAAGGGAATTTGCACTGTGGTGGTTTCTCCTTAGCTTAGTGAATGAGGTGAAACTCTGCTGACTTATCATCCAGCCATGTGCAAGCAAGAATAATGTTGTTTTTGGGGGTTTTTTCCTTCATGTGATTGGGCATTCTTTGAAATGTAGAAATTTCACCACATTCGCTAAGCTAAGGGAAAATCCCCCTGCAAAATGCAAATTCTTTTGCAAAGTCAATAACTTATGTGCCTTTAGTAAATCAACTCCATGGTGAAAGATTTGGTAGTGTCACTACTGTACTGTTCAGTGTTTGTTGGCAGCTCTGAAATGAGGAAACAAAACCTGTCTTTACCAAAATGTTAAAATGATTAGCTGCAGGAGGACCACAGGACTAGGCTGTCACCTTCTACCTGCTCGTTTTTGGGCACAGCTTCTGGCTTAGTTCCTCTTTAATAAATTAGTCATGGAATGTTCTGGTATTTTCAATATGAGTTGCCTAATTCTGAGTATTGTAATTCTGTAATTGCAGATTAAATAAATTGCACTATACAACCACTTTTACTGGTCATTTACTGAATTCCAGCCAAAGCTGTTTTTGCACACATGATAAAATGCACATTTTAGGCCTGATAATAACTTAAAACCGCCCAGAATTTCGATATTTTCTGAAAGCAGACACCTGTAGAATAAAATGGTGACAGTTGCAATTGTTTATGTCCAGTGATATTAGTGTACCTGTTTATCAAGCTCACATTTTTAGTAAAAAATATTTCAAATTAATTTGAGTGCACACAAAGACAATATAATAACGAATTGTTGGCAAAATATAACAGATAGGGTATTGCCAAGTAAATAAATACCAAACATGTCAAGTTTCAAAATTGCGCGTTCCCGTGAAATGGCAAAAAACTACGGTACCAAAAATTGTCCATAGGCGATGCTCTAAAAGCTCTTATAGGTCATCAGTTTGGAGTTGACCATGAACAATGGCCAGGGAATTATTGCTCTCATGACCAGGGGTGCGTGTTTCTAGCCTTTTTTCTGCCTGAAGCAAAGTGCAAAATGGCGCCCATTGGCCTGACCCATAGCTGCTTGCATCTAGAGGTGGTTATTTGTCTCAAACTGGCCATAATCTGTACATGTGTGCTTACCTTCGAATACAGGCCGACAGCTATGTCATTGCTTTGTACAGGCGCACAAGCCCCCTGTGATTTTTGCTGCAAAAAGATACACGCCTCAGTGAATGAGACCTTACAGCAGTAATTGTACACACAGCTTAGGTTGTGGCTACAGAGACAAGCAAAGGTAAAATTGTGTTTTAGATAATAATAGTAATACAAAAAAAAGGTTAACAATATCTACAATAAGTAATCTGTCTTGCTTTACAAATAAAACAATGTCAAACAGTGAGTGTGAGAAAAAGTGAGAATGACTGAATACCTCCCAGACATATCTCTGGGAAAGAGTTAGGAGACAACTAGAGAATAGACATGTACAGTACATTCGGATTCAGGCGGTTCGTCCAAATCCAAAATAACAAATTTATTATATTTCGGAATATTCAAAAACGAAATTCGGGCATATAAAAATTAATTTGCAGAACGCATGGCAACCATATTGGCCACCGTCGCGTTCTGCGCATGCGCACCACCATCTTGGAAGCGGGGCCAATTATGTCACGTAAGAAGAAAATAATGTCACCAGCACTCCGTAGTAATAAATCAATATTTATTACTACGGAGTGACCACGGACGGCACCGTGTATACCACAGAAGAAGAAAAGAATGTCACCAGCACACCGTAGTAATAAATCAATAATCCATTGAATGGCATTCAATGGATTATTGATTTATTACTACGGTGTGCTGGCATTCAATGGATTATTGATTTATTACTACGGTGTGCTGGTGACATTATTTTCTTCTTCTGTGGTATACACGGTGCCGTCCGTGGTCACTACGAGCACCCACCCACACGGGTTCTCTCCGGTAAGGAGTGCAGCAAGGTCCTTAAACAATTTTAAACAATTGTCACATGACGCCACACATGCACGGCATTGGGTGATGTCATATGCATGTTTGGACGACCCCATCTTGGTGTATACCAAGATATACACGAAGATGGTGGCCCCCAAACACGTGCAGCATAATGTGACTCCCCGCATGTGCAGCATAATGTGATGTCATTCATCCCGCCTCCGAGATGGCGGAGCACATGCGCAGAATGCCCGACGGCTAATATGGCCGCTGTGCGTTCTGCAATTTCATTGTGCAGTTTCGGATTTGGAGGCTCGTGGCCTCCGAATCTGATACAGCATAACATTTAGTTTAGTTTGAAATTAATGAAAATATTTTCAGTTTTCATTTGTTTCGTCCGAAACTAAATGTTATTCTGTGCACATGTCTGCTAGGGAATCAATGAAAATGATACAATCTGCGCTGTGGCGAACAAGGACTGTAGCTACATTGCGCCAATTATTGTGTGCACGTCATTCGGAAATTCAAGCCATGTGTGGCCCTACCATTGCCTCTACATTTGACAAAAGCAGATTTTTTAATTGGGCAAAACATTGTCAGCCAAACATTGTATACTGGCAATGGGGAGTGCAGGCTGTCAGAATACAATAGCCGGCAGGGAAGATTCCCTCATGCACGCAGTTCAGTGTTTATGGAGGAATCTGTGGACCTTAGACTGCTGCAGAGGAGGGGGAGAGACATTCCAGGTACTGGTCTAAGAAGAAGCCAGCTCAGAGCATTGAGTGAGTAATTCTTTGGATTTTTTTAACCTAGACACAAACGAGCAGTAAACCCTTGCAGTGCGGGAGTAGCCCCACTGCAAGCGTTAATTCAAGAAATTCCTGGAGTTCTGCATTAAGTAGGGTACTCACGGAGCAAATTTTGGTCAATTCAGCAGGGAATCAGACGCAATTCACTCCGTTGGTGAGCCCATTCCTTCAACAGAGGTTGATCATTTGATTGACTTTTGCTGAAGAAACATGTTGGAAAATCTTCAGCCGAATGATGCTTGCAGCCAGTCAGCCAAACTGTTTGTGTATTCTGACAGCGGCCAGCAATAGAATCAGCTGGAGATTCATTCATCAATGCTGTTCAGCATGGATGGGGGAATCTGTGCTTGCAGCCAATAAGCCAAACTGTTTGTGTATTCTGACAGCGGCCAGCAATAGAATCAGCTGGAGATTCATTCATCAATGCTGTTCA